TAAGAGAGAGAGAGAGAGAGAGAGAGAGAGAGAGAGATCTGCATGTCACAAAGCAGATGTCTGGGGTTTAGAATAACACTCTTGGTGAGGACTTTTTATAGTTAGTGTTTTATGGCACTTGCAACACAATAAGGTCACATAGGTGCCGAAGACTAGAGGTGTTACAAGAGAGTAACAAACACCAAAAAAGAAGGAGAGATCAGAATGAAAATGTTTGATAGGAAAGAAGGAGCAAAACCACATGAGAGCACCCGCCAACCACCCACCTTGGTGAGGACATTAGAGGGGTTACTAGAGAGCGACATACAAAAAGTAAAGGTAGAGTAGAAGTAAGGATGGTAGGTATTTGACAGGGAAAAAAAAAAAGAGTAAATGATACAATAGTGCCCGCCTACCACACACCACATAAATGTGCATAACAACATAAATACAAACAAAAAGGAAATCCTTCAAAAAACGACCAACACAAAAAAACAAAACAAAAACCGCAAGAGGAATCTGAAATAAGCCAACAACACCAAATACCATACATCATGCACCACTTGAGAATGAGCTTTACAGCGCTATCAACACTTCAAGAAAACATTTAAACATAGACGAGAAAAAAAAAGAAGAATGAAAATGCCGAAACTAAAAGTATGAGCAACGATCCACATGAGAAAAGTGTTGAATGGTGGGTGGGTCCTGTAACTTCTTTCTTATCTCCAGAAAGTCGTTTAAAGAAAAGCAAAACCCAAAAGGCAAAAAACTAAAAAAAAATCCCAGAGACAAGGAAGCTGGCCAGCTTTCGTATTTACCTACAGCTGGACTGTGCCAGCTGTTAACCATAATTAATATCAAATAAAGTATCTAAATATCTACTGGCATGGTAAGTTTTAGTTTTAGTAAAGGTTTTACGGCACTCGCAACTGCATTAAGGTCATATGAGTGTCAGAAGATTAGAGGTGTTACAAGAGGGTAGCAAACATAAAAGAGAAGAAGGGGAGATAAGGATGGTAACTGTTTGATAGGAAAGAAGAAACAAACCACACCAGAGCACCCGCCAACCACCCACTGTCTACTAGCACAAACATAGGAACAACTGAACTTAACAAAACCTCAAAACCCGAGATATCCACTTCAACCCTGCTGTTGAGGACACGAATACAAAACCGAAAGAGCTGAACTTACGCACAAAGTTACAGCCAACAACTGTGTCTTAAAGTCATTATACGCCGACCGAACATCATATAAAACGACAAAGACAATTGAGACGGCCACTTATAATAATAATAACAATGATAATAATAATAATAATAATAAATGGCATTTGTATAGCGCATATCCCTGCTTGACAGCAAGCTGTATGCGCTTTACACTATACTATTACCCCAGTAGACCTTAGAACACTCAAAACATTCTCAGCTTCCCGGGAAGCATACAGTGCAAGCAGCTGATAAAGCACTCAAACACTAACAAACTGACAAAATCTTTCACTTGAGCTTCCTGAAAAGAGAAAGCGGCAGAACTGAACCTTTACCTTTGATTCGAGTGGTTGGACTGTGAGCTGGAGGTGGAACTGGAGGAGATCCGGGACTCCATCTTCCTCATGACCACCGTCCTCTGCTGTGACATGGTAACCGAGGAACCTACAGAGGTCAAGGCCGCCACCCGGTCCTCCAGACCGTCGGGGACATTGTCATACTGGGAGTTCAACCGGTGCAAACCGCTGCCCTTCTTGGCCGGGAGCGGAGGGGGCGTGTCTTCGATGCAGTGGGTCAGCTTCTTGATCTGAGACGTCAGCTGGTTGATCTCGTCGCAGGCTTTGCCTCCCGTCGTGGCTTTCCGCGACACGACCGTGCTGCTGACCAGTTTGGAGTCGCTGACCGTGCGCGAGAACGTGTGTGTGGTGGTGGTGGTAGACGGCCCACCCTCCGAGTCTTTCTGCTGCTGCCACGACTGCGTGGCCTGAAGGGAGGAGGAAGAAGAAGAGGAGGAAGACTGAGAGATGCTGACATCCCCCAAGGACAGGTGATTCACCGGACTGCCCCCGTTTGTGGCAGCGCCAGGAACGATCCCCCCAGACACCAAAGTGTTGCCAGGCAACGAAGCTAAAGAGCCACGCCCGGCAATGCCAAGTTGGTGGTCCAGAGACGCGCTGGAGACAAGAGAACTGGGATGCGTTGACGTTGACGGCGTGGCGCCTGATGGTGTGCTACATGTACTGGCACGACCCGACACGCTGTCCAGAATGTCCAGACTTGTGCTGGGGGAGCGTTTCTTCTCCGGGAGAGGTGGCGGGACGAGGTCCTGGCCGCCATCAACGCTATCCTGGTCTGACGACGTCAGCCTGTGATGGGAAGGGGGAGGGGGAGAGGGAACAACAACAACGTACATGAGACATTGGCTTCTTAAGAGTTGCTGAGCGGTGGGTTCTTGTTTGAAGGGCACCTCTGGAAGGTCCTACGTCTTCACTTTCCCTCTGTTGCCTCTGTCTGTCCGTCTTACTTTTTCCCAGCACTAAATGACCATTATTATTTCTACATGCTTCTCTTCACTCAAAGAAAAAGCAACAAACAAACAAAAAAAGAAAGAAAAGAGTTGTCGTATCCCAATCCACAGACAGATTGGTTTCGTTTTGTTCGTTTGAGTAAAGAGGAGCACACTGACACAATAATGGTCATTTAGTGTGGGGGGGGGGGAAGTAAGACAGACAGACAGACAGAAACAACTGAGGGAAAGTAAAGAAGTAGGACCAACCAGTGGCACACATGGTCCACACCCAGAAAGCACACGTTTTGTTTGTTTTGAGTATAGAGAAGCACGGTTATTTAGTTCAGGGGAAACACAAGACAGACAGACAGACAGACAGACAGACAGACAGACAGACAGACAGACAGACAGACACAGATTGACAGCAAAGATACAGAGGCTCTCCCCTTCAGAACATTTCTGTAAAAAAATAAAATCAAAAAGTCAGAGCTATATATAGGAACCTCAGATGGTTTTTAAAAAGGAGGGGGGAAAACCAACAGCAAAGCCAAGACTGCAGCCAATTAGAAAACATTTCAAAACATATTGCAACATTGCAAAAACAGGCAAAAAATAGTTCTTCACAACTCATTTCGTGGGTAGCATCTTAGCCATAGTGCATGTGTCTGCGAGGAGCACACTCCGGAGAGAAAGACACAGAGGAGATGAAGAAAAGGGGACAGACCACATCCCAATGTCTATAAATGGGAGAGATATTTTTTGCCCGAATACTTAAAAGATAAGACAGCATGATAGCAACCAAGCGTGCATAAATGTAGCAGCCAATTCAAGTTAAGTGCAATGATGTCAGTACAACATAGGCTTTTCCAACTTCTTTCAAATGGGAGTTACACATTCAGTCATTTTTCTTTATTTCTCTCCATGCAAGAGAGAGAGAGAGAGAGAGAGAGAGAGAGAGAGAGAGAGAGAGAGAGAGAGAGAGAGAGAAAGAGAGAGAGAGAGAGAGAGAGAGAAAAGATAAGGAGAGAGAAAAAATGTAAAAGAGATATGGAAAGTGAAAGATAGAGAGACAAAGAGTGAAGGGGAAAGATAGGCTACAAATGAGAGAGAGAGTGTAAAAGACAAGGAGAGAGCATGGAGAGAGAGAGAGAGAGCGAGAGAGAGAGAGAAAGAGAGAGAGAGACTGAAAGAAAAATACTTTTACAAACTTATTTAGTGACAGCACCCAAATAGGATAAAAACATTCACAAGAACAAGAATAAATGTGCCACTTCTATTAATATTTTGCCACACATTAAAAAAAATACCAAAGCACACAAATGTACATTGCATAAATTAGCCTGGCGTGTCAAAACCATTACAATGGAAGCAAAAGCAAACGATGTGCAGAAATATATGTGTGAAAACCAGAGTTACATCTTTACAATATCACGCAACACACACTGTTAAGGAAGTAAGAAAAACTCCCCTCCTCCTCTCTCAATCTTTTATCCAGTAATGTGTCCTCATTCTTTTTTTCTTTTGGGTGCCAGACGAATAAGAAATTAATTATAAAAATGTGAGCTCACAGTGGTACTCTTACAATGTAAACTGAGAGATGTCTCTCAAATCGAGAAGGACAAAGGAAGAAGACTGATTGCAATTGATAAATGTATGTCAAAATAGGACCAAAAAGCTCATATATCTTGACATTGGGAATATATCCTGGGGGTTTCCAGAGACACAGTCATACTGTAAGATTATACAAGTGCATCTGCTCCGTGAAATATTAACAAAAATGGAAAAAGTACCACAAAAATATACTTTCCCTTTGCTTTCATTCAATAATAATTTTCTTAGCTTCTTTAGGAAAGTCATAGTATTACTTTTAGATCCAAAGTCTATCATATTGACTTTTTCAAGTCAAAAACAAACGAAAGAATTTTTAAATCTTATTTGTTAAATTGAACTGTCATTACTCGTTCAAAAAGTTTTCCGAATAATGTTGAACACATTTGTCAAAATACGAGGTCCCAAACTTGTGATCTTAACACCAAATAAATGGTTCCATCCCCACTCTAAATTTTAATAAGACAGAACAACTCTGAGGTCACAGATGAAAAGCCACACAAAAAATGTTGAAGGCAATTCGTTATTAGTACAGGTTATAATTTTAAAAAAGCTGCCACACAATGAGGGTTAGAATCCGATTAGTAGGAGAATGGTAGCAACAAGGATCAAGCTTAAGGCAGGTCAGTCAGTCACATCAAGGAAAAACAACAAGCAGCCAGTCAGCTGAGCAGTGAGCACAAGCAGTTAACAGCATTGGTGGTCAGGGACATACATAGACCAGAAAACAGGCCGGGGCAGAGCTGCCGTAAGTTGACAAAAACGCCTTTTATTATTCACAGTAGTTTTGAGAAAAAGAGGCATCGTTCTTCCGAAATCTGCATTCAAATTAATTTTTTTTAAATTGTCAGTTTCACTTTGACTTTTTCACAAGTAGGGAAACTGATCAGGCTTTCGATTAAGCAAATACAACATTTGGGCGCCAAAATGAAAAAAAAACTGGCCTTTAGTCAGTTTATGGCAGAGAACTGAAACATGACGCATACATTGTGCAATTTTTAAAAAGAAGCATGCAGCACAGAATGCACACACAACCTCTCCTTCCTTAATCTCATACCAAAAAAATGCACAAACAAAATTTGTTAAAATATAAATGTGTCTTCGTCATTCTTCTAGCAATATTTTGACGGAACAAGACCATCATAACAATCATACAAGCAAGGTCACAGTTGACCGTCAATATCATACCGGCACACAAGTCGACACCACCCCATGCCAAAAAGTCAGCGCAAGCCATAACCAACTAACCAACAAGGGTGCTAGGAATTTATCCCAAACTCCATTCAACATGGCATTTGTGAATGACAAGTTAAGGTTTCATACAGACTGGCACACATTTGAACCTTTATAAACACGTGATACATTAGGCTACAACAATAAAATGAACAAGAATCATGTGTTAACGAAATCTCATTAAAATAAACATTCAAATTCCAGGTATACCTAATAATACTGATAATAACTGCATTTATATAGCGCACATACATGCTCTTTGTTTAGTTAGCGTTTTACAGCCCTTGCAGCACAATAAGGTCATATAAGTGCCCAATAAGGTCATATAAGTGCCCAATAAGGTCATATAAGTGCCCAATAAGGTCATATAAGTGCCGAAGATTAGAAGTGTTACAAGAGAGTAACAAACATTTTAAAAAAGGAAGAGAGATAAGGACGAAAGACGTTTTATAGGAAAAAAGGAGCAAATCACACCTGAGCACCCGCCAACTACCCATAAACATGCTCTATGCACTTTGCAACCATTTACACCATCCTGTAGGGACACAAAACCTCACATCGCCCAGAGCACCCCAAACAAGCAGAGATTAGAAGCAGCCTTTTTCTCACATATCTAAATGCTGGTTTTTTAAAAGTTTTAGTAAGAGTTTTACTGCACTTGCAACACAATAAGGTCATATAAGTGCCGAAGATGAGAAAGTGTTGCAAGAGAGCAACAAATATAAAAAAAGAAGGAGGGGAAATAGAGAAGATAGATTTTTTATAGGAAAGAAGGAGCAAACCACACCAGAGCACCCGCCAACTACCTAACTTATGTTGGTTTGGGTGAGAGAAAAAATTACAATCATCGGACATCTTCCAACCTCATGGGCCACAGCACGAGATAACTAGCATCAACGAACAGTGGATACAAGGACCAAAAAACAAACTTGTGTACCGAGCACAAGGAAAACTGGCAGTACCTTGGAGTAACTATATAATAGTTACTCCAAGGGCAGTACAGCTAAAGAAAATGTCAAAATGGGAAGAAAACAGTCACAGGTATATATAATTTAGCTAATAGCACACACAAAAACATAGCACAAAAGTGTGTGTGTATATATATATATATATATATATATATTGACACGAGGCTCAGACACAGACGAGCCCATCACTGAGGTGTATCCTTGAGCAAGAGACCATAACACGAGCTAAAAATAAAGGGGAGCTTTACCACCTGGCGACCAGCGATGGCAAGTTTGTAACATATCTGTACGTTTCAGATCTATGTAGCTATACATTAATGTATTTATGTACCATATTTATGCATTTATGTACCATATTTATGTATTTATGTACCATATTTATGTATTTTGATACCATATTTATGTATTTTGATACCATATTTATGTATATATTATATACAAACTTCTACACAGGGATAAAAAAAAAAAGGTAGGGAAAAAATAATGCATTTTCAACAAGCTATTGCAACAGCATTGTAACATAATGGGTTTGCATACTTCAAAAGACAATGAGGGGGGAAAACCAACAGCAAAGCCAAGACTGCAGCCAATT